TACGTTACGTTCATCATCATCCTTCGGTGAATATTTTTGTTGGCATTGAAAACATGGTATCAGATAACTACGACCCTCTTGAATTATCAAGAGCAGCTTAGCTCAATGTAGCCAGAAAACGATGATGCACAGTTTGGGAGTGTGTAAAATTCCAATTAGCTGAAGTATTAAATCATGTGACATACCCATCGGGACATGTGTTAATTGAGGACATGACAACTGCTCAAAGTTTCATGTCCCAGCAGGGGAAGAAGGAAGCTACGTGACGCCTATCTCGGCGTCTTAGGTGAATTTTCTCTCAAGTTTTCCCTTTCAGAATTTGAGTGAAACTCTCTAATGAAGCTATGTGATCAAAGTACTCTTGTTGCAAAGATCACTTAAACTAAAACCTGATTGCAAAAGCGTAAACATAAATAGTTTTCATGTCATAGAGCAATTGAGATTCACAGTTCCTTTCCTTGACAAACTCAGACTTAAACTTGTGATCAAACTATTCTTGTTGCAAACAAGAGTATGTGATCAAACTATTCTTGTTTCAAACATCACATGAACAAAAACCAGATTGCAAAATCCTAAACATTAGTATCCGTTCAAATCGCAAAGCAATTGACATTCAAAACTTCTTTCCTTGCCTAGCTATTACTTGACTGTGCCACAGCGTCCATCAAAGGGAAAACTAACACAGAATCCAGAAACGAAAGAACAAGAACAGATCAAACGACTGATGATCGATCCATCCATATTGATCGGTTGAGAGAGAGAATGCCTTAGACAGAGCATCAAATTGGATAATGACAGGTTGAATCCATCATAAGGAGCTTTTTAAGTTTAACCAGCGGCAATAATTTTAAATTATAATGGTTAGACAGCATCTTAGAGCAAGTCCAACAGGCCACTCTCTCCTATAAAAAGATACTTCATTCATCTGCTGAAAGACATCAGATACTTCTCAAACCTCCTTTACAACTTCAGTCGTTTTGTATAATACACAAGTTTCCTCAAGAGAGGAAAAAAGAACATCAACCTCAAGCTCGATTAAATAACACATACAATGACGAAGTCCTTCAAGGCCTATGGGAAAGTGGATTCTCTAGAAAAACAAGCCCTCAAACAAAGAAATCGTAGAAAGATGATCATTTTACTTCTTTCACTGGTTGTTTTGGTAGCTCTCATCATTGGAATCGTGGTGGGGACTCTTAATCACAAGAAGAACAAGAATGGTGATGATGCTCTTTCTTCAACTCCAAACTCAGCTCAATCAATAAAAGCAGTCTGCAGTGTAGCAACTTATCCAAAATCATGTTACAGTAGCCTTTCACCATTCGGGACTTCAAATTCCACAATTGACCCGGAAAAGCTCTTCCATCTTTCTTTGCAAGTCGTCCACGACTCCCTGGAGAAGCTCTCCACTCTGCCTCAGGAATGGATAAACAATACTGATGACCCTGAAGTCAAGAAGGCTTTGGGTGTATGCCAAACGGTATTTGATGAAGCAGTTGATGCCGTCAATGAATCTATCTTATCCTTAAACGTGATCGACAGCAACAAAGTATTCTCCGTGAAGAGAATCCATGATCTCAAGACTTGGCTGAGCACCTCCCTTACCGATCTAGAGACATGCTTGGATACTCTGGAAGAAGTTAATGCTACAATCTTGGAAGACGTGAGAACAGCAATGAAGAACTCAACCGAATTTGCCAGCAACAGTTTGGCAATAGTCTCGAAACTCGTTGAAATTCTCAGCGACTTTCAAATCCCAGTTAATAGGAAGTTGCTAGGGGAGACAGGAAGAAGTTCAGGTTTTCCCCATTGGGTTAGAGCAGCTGACAGGAGGCTGCTTCAAACGTCTAAGGATCCACAGCCTGATCTGGTCGTGGCCCTGGACGGCAGTGGAGATTATAGGACAATCAATGAGGCGGTGGCAAGGATTCCGATAAACAGTAAAACAAGGTTTGTGATCTATGTTAAGGCCGGTGTTTATAAGGAGAAGGTGATATTGGACAAGCCCTTGTGGAATGTGATGATGTATGGAGATGGCAAGACCGAGACCATTGTTACCTTCGACGACAATTATGTTGATGGAACCCGAACTTTCGACACGCCTACATTCGGTGAGTACTCTTCGTCCATATATAAACCTCTGTTGATTTTGAGTACTTTTTGTCATTTATAACTGTGTAGCTGACATTGGTTCATGTTTACTACCAGCTGTGACGGGGAAAAATTTCATAGCAAAGAACATGGGATTCAAGAACACAGCTGGACCAGAAAAGGAGCAGGCCGTGGCAGTGCGGTCCGGCTCCGACCAATCTGTTTTCCATCAGTGTTCTTTTGATGGCTTCCAAGATACCCTTTATTCACACACCAATCGCCAATTCTACAGCAAATGCGACATCATTGGGACAGTAGACTTCATATTTGGTAATGCTGCGGTTGTTTTTCAGGACTGCAACATTTTGCCCAGACAGCCACTTCCGGATCAATTTGTAACCATAACGGCTCAAGGAAAGAAGGATCCCAATCAGAACACAGGCATTAGTATTCAAAGCTGTGTCGTGATTCCGCTGGACAACGTCACAGTTCCAGTCTTCCTCGGCAGGCCCTGGAAGAATTACTCCACCACTATAATCATGCAAACTAAAATTGGCGGCTTGTTGAGTCCCGGGGGTTGGATAGAGTGGTTCCGAAATGTGGAGCCACCCAGCACCATTTTCTACGCCGAGTACCAAAACACGGGTGCAGGAGCAAGCGTCGCCAACAGGGTCAAATGGGCAGGCTACAGGCCCACTCTCACACCCAAACAAGCTTCTAATTTCGCTATAGGACCATTTCTAGATGGCCAAGATTGGATACCGGCATCACAGGTGACCTTTACGTAGATGACAAAAGTAAATCTCCATAGATTGCAGATTGGAACGTCTTCATCATTCAGTAAAATCAGCACACGGAAGAGACGGCAGTGGTCATCAAATAGAAGGATGGCATACCATCATTCCAGCTTTGCTTCTTGTATTCTTCATTTTGTTTCCTACTTTTGATTTTTTATTTATGAAAATGTTTTGCTTCTCCTGTACAATTAATTCTTTAGGAGGAGTGTTTTATCTCTGTCTTGCCCGTTGGACCAATTTGTGAGAAAATGCATCGAGCCTTTTGTCTGGAAAGTAAGTTGGAGGGGTCTGTTGGTCCATTGCTGGGCCTAATCTGAAACAAGAAGTCTCCACTCCCAGAATATCAGAATTAGAATAGGAAAGCATCGATTCTCATAGAAGTCTCCACTCCCAGATGTGATCGTCAAATTATTTCCAACTTCCAAATGGCCCTTCACATAGTCCGTTGCAAATACTACTAGTAGTACTAAAATTTGAAAGCATCAAGTTAATCAGATTATGTCAACGCTGGGTGGGCAGACGGATAAATGAAAGTTTCAAGAAGATAAACGGAGGGGATTATGCATTATAGTTCTAGGCTTCTGCAGTATCAAAAAAAAAAATTTTTTTTTTGGGGTGAAAATCAGACCAGTACTAGAGTAGTAGATGAATGATTACTAGTAGGAAAAACTGTCCGTCAAATTACAATCTTTGATGCAGGTGATTTACCACTTGCGCCGTCGGCATCAGCAGCGGGGAGGGCTGGGCTGGTTACTTCGCCGTAGATAGCCTTAAGCTTGGAAAGAGGAACTAAGGGCCCCCCTGCTGCTCTAGAAGAATTCTTGGACCCCGCGGCAGCAGCCTCCTCAGCCTCGGCAAAGAGTTGCTTCTTCCAGTCCCAAATAGTAGCCTTGATGGCTTTATTGGATTTGACCAAAGACTCCTTCTCTGCCTCCAATGCCTCAATATCCCTCTGCTGCCTCATCGACCGAACTCCCAGCGCCCCAAAGCACCCAATTAGAAACACATTCATCAATCCATTGCTGTTTGCTGCTCTGTTCAGTGCCTCCGCTGCTCTCTCCATTTCCACAACTCACTAAAATCGACCGCCCACCCTTTTCTTTCTTCTGTTTTTTTTTTCTTGCTGTTTTTATCTCGACGGCAGGCAGATTTAAATTTTTTTTTAATATATATATATATATATATATATATATATATATATATATATATATATATATATACGGGACGACGAGGGCAATGGGAATTAGGAATACATCAAAAGAGCAAACTTTTATTCAATACCATTCCTTCTTTTCTTTATCAAGAATTTAATTTCGATATGGAAGGAAAAAGGGAATAAGGATACTCACGATGATGGAGGCTTTCAATCCTGTGATTCTTCTGCTCTAGATTGAAGAAGCCCCAGATCCGAAGAAAGCCAGGAACTCAGAAGGGAAACGGAATTGGGGAAGGAGGCGAAAAGGGCCACTGTAGACGGAGCTGCGAAGAGACGGGTTTCGGCTCTGGGTTTTTTGTGCGTTGGACTTGGGTTAATTAGCATCAGGAGAATTTTTTTCCCTACTTACGAAAATGATACTACTACTAGTAGGGAAATGCCAAAAGGGCAAAAACAAAAAAAAGGGTCAATTTAATTTTTCATAATAATTGATCCCATGCTCTTTTAAGTTTTAGTACTACGTTGGTTTTCACTTTTTTTTTTTTTCCGAAACGTTAGTTTGCTTGCATTGAACTATAAAAAAGAGTTAACAAATCGAGCAAAGGCCCGAACATATGTACATCACGTGCTCATTGACACGGAGGAACAAGAGCTTCCTCATCCAACAAAATGCCTAAGGCATATGAGCTAATATTAGCACAAACATCCTTATCATCATAATTAACTAAGCTAAAGGAGCACACTCGAAACAAAGACTTTAAACACAATATATTTTCAAGGATTGTTGTCAATCTGCAGTCTGAGGATTTGCCAAACTTGAGGCGCTTCAGTAGGTCCTTGTTGTGAATTTGTATACTGATGTTGCTCCAATGTCTGTCCAAAGCTTTGCATAAAATCAATTGAACAGCAGCGGCATCATCTATATTTTGGTCACCCGAGCTTCTGTCTTTTAAGGCCTACAACTCCTTTGCCTCCGTTTGCATCTTAGAAATGTCAACTCCAATTCCCAGCACTGCATGTTTTTGTGATCTTCTGGTTGCCATCTTCAGAATGATGAGGTCTTGACTTTGTTGTGCATGACAGTCCTCTTCCAAAGTCGTCAGTGTTTCTGTTGTACTCCTAGAGTTCTTCATAGGCTCTAGATCCTCTAGTTCTAGCCACTCCTTGTGTGCTTTTTGAATAACACTACACGGATGGCTGCCAGTATGATGCTCAAACTCCCTCTTATTTCTGTCCTTCCATATCTGCCACAGTATATTAGCCGTAAGTCCCATGTGGCTTCTCCCTTCTTGCCTTTTCCTAGCCTCAGTAATTGTACTCCACCATCTTTGAAAGTTCCCTGTCTGGTCTTTAGCTCCATCCCATATTAATGGAGCTACTTTCCAAATCTTCTGTGCTAGAGGGCATTGCAGTAAGGTGTGCTCAATTGTCTCAGGCTCTTCTCCACATCCTTTACACACTGGATCCCTTAATGCAGCTCTCTTGTGTATAGCCTCTCTGACAGGTAAATGATAGGGTGTTAATTGTTGGTATTTTTATTATTAATTTTCCCTTCTATCCCTGACAAATATTGTGTTAATTGCTGATATTTACTCATATTTGGTATCGGGACTTAATTTCAGGAATGAAGCAGAAAACTACCAAAAAGGAGGGACTTTTTGGAGAATATGGAGACTTCTAAGGGATTCAATCCTTAGGCCTTGGATTGGTGGGGACCACAAAGCTATAAGTCATTTGGGCTCTTAAAAGAAAGGAACGTAGAGAGACTTGGAAGAAGAAGTAATTTTGGAGACTTTGTCCACATGTGTGGGGACCACCGGAGATAGCTTTTAGTCATCTTACTTTTGGCTTTTTAAGGAGAGGACGTACAGAAGCAAGGGGGGACCTCTAGTTTAGCTTTTTAGTTTAGTTCTAGTTTCCTTTCTCTGGACTGGCCTCTGACACACGCCAGGTGTTCGACAATATTCCCCAACGGGAAAAACATCTTTTATTCCTTGCTTTCTAGTAAAAACGCAATGCCTTTGCAATCCAGTACTTTTGGCTGCAATTCAACTATGAGGAGTGGCTAATTTCTTCATCTAGTCAGAGGTTAAATCGAAGCTTTGGTTCGACAAAACTGTGAGATCGAATTGATTTCCTTACGTTCTTTAATTTGCAAGTATTTATATATTTCCTGTTCACTTATGCATATGATTATTTCTTGCAATTAAATACTTGATCACTGTTTAATTGTGTGAGTAATTAACCGCCATCTAAGAGTGCTCAATCCGTAATTGTTGGGTAATTTTAGTGCATGTGGCAAGTGATATGATTCAATTGTAGTAGAAACTTTTGAGTCGTTGTTGCGGAAATATATGTTATAGCCTAAATAAACCGAGCGTGTGTGTTTGTTGGTTATAATTGGTGGCCAGTCTAATGATTAATGCTGTCAATAGGTTAAATCCTAAGAGCGTGTTTAGGACTGCTTAATTGGCTAGGGCAATAACTACAGAGCTTGTTGTGGTTATCGAATCAGGAAGGTTAGGCAGGTTGTCAGAGCTTGTTGACAACCATAACCAGTTTATTTGTAAATGAAAGATTTTATCTCTGCATCTGTGATCAGTGATTCGAACCATAAGTGGAGATTATACCTTTGACTAGAGATTTTTCTTCCGTCAATTTACTTTATATTTTTAATTTGAGCAATTAAATTAGACAGTTCCATATCAACTCCCCCAATTTTTATTTAATGTTACATTCATTCAAAATAAATTCCCAAGTCCCTGTGGATTCGACCCTGCTCGCTGCTATATTCGAATTTTGTCTTTCACGTAATTAATATACTTTGGTATATCGGATCAAGCAAACTCTGGCACCAGGGTGAAGCTAGTAACCCATTGCACAGCCTAAGTCCCTGCTCCAGTACCATAGTGGACTTAATTCGTGACTTAAGAGTAGGAATTTTATTTTTGTTGGTTTGACACCCAACAAATTTTGGCGCCGTTGCCGGGGACTTGGTGTCAAAATAAATTTATTTTCTTTGAATTTTATTTTCTTTGTTTATTTTTATATTTTATATTTTTGTTTTTATTATTACTGGTTTATGCCTAGATCTTCTCGTACAGGTGAACTGCAATATAATCCTGAGATAGAGAAGACTGCTCGTGCATTGAGAAAAGCAACAAGAGAACGAGCAGAGGCATCCTCCTCATCTACTGGACATAATTCAGTAGTAGATTTTGTGGATTCATTTAGTGAGACGGAAGAGATAAATAGCACCATGGCTAATGAACGGACATTGAGAGAATTGGCTGCACCAGATTTAAATCAACAGCCCCTATGCATTACTTATCCTACATTAGAGGTTGCATTTGAGTTAAAATCTGGACTAATCCATTTACTTCCTTCTTTTCATGGCTTACCAGGTGAAGATCCCCACAAGCATCTCAAAGAATTCCATGTGGTTTGCTCGACAATGAAACCCCAGGGAGTCACAGAGGAGCAAATTAAATTAAGAGCCTTTCCATTTTCCTTAGCCGATAAAGCTAAGGATTGGCTCTATTATCTGCCCTCTGGGTCAATATCCACATGGACAGACATGAAGAAGCATTTTCTAGAAAAATTCTTTCCTGCATCCCGAGCTGCAAGCATTAGGAAAGACATCTGTGGAATTCGACAATTCAATGGAGAGACTCTACATGAATATTGGGAAAGATTCAAGCAACTATGTGCTAGTTGTCCTCATCATCAAATTCCTGACCAACTCCTCATCCAGTATTTTTATGAGGGTCTGTCCCAAACTGACAGAAGAATTATTGATGCTGCCAGTGGGGGCTCCTTAGTGAATAAAACACCCACGGAGGCAAGAAATTTGATATCGAGTATGGCTGCAAATGCTCAACAATTTGGAGACAGGCAGGATAACACGACTCGTAGAGTCAATGAGGTAAGTAATTCTTCAATAGAGCAAAGATTAGATTGTCTAACTTCTTTGGTTGAAAAGTTAGCTATAGGACAAATGCAGCAATTGAAAACATGTGGAATCTGCTATGGTTCGAGTCATCCAACAGATATGTGCCCCACACTCCAAGATGATTCGACTGAGCAGGCTAATGCAGTTGGATTTCCAGGACCACCTCAGAGACGGTATGATCCCTATGCAAACACCTATAATCCAGGATGGAGGGATCATCCTAATTTTAATTATGCAGTAAGGCCACCAGGATTTCCACATCAGTCACAATATCAACCTAGACCTCAACTTTCACAGCAACAACCTGCTCCTAAATCAGGTATGTCACTTGAGGATATTGTGAAATCTTTGGCTACTAACACTCAACAATTTCAACAGGAGACGAAAACTAGCATTCATAATTTGGAGAATCAAATGAGCCAGTTAGCTTCCACAGTCAATAGATTGGAGTCCCAATTATCTGGAAAGCTACCTTCGTAGACAATTGTCAACCCCAACCAAAATGCTAGTGCCATCACATTAAGAAGTGGCAAAGAGTTGCCTGAGCCGAGCAAGAAAATTTCTGAACAAGCAATCGAGGAAGAGCTCGAAAAAGAGGGGAATGTGTCTCAACCTAGAGCCTTGGAACAACCAGATTTTGGAGAAAAATCAACACAAGTGGTTACACCTCCGCCACCATTTCCTAGTCGACTGGCAAAGTCCAAAAAGCAAGAACAAGAACAGGAGATTTTGGACACTTTTCGAAAAGTTGAGGTAAATATCCCTCTTTTAGATGCAATTAAGCAAATTCCTAGATATGCTAAATTTTTGAAGGAGTTATGCACTGGTAAGAAAAAGTTGAAAGGAAACGAGAAAGTGCATATGGGAGAAAATGTTTCGGCAGTTTTGCAGAAAAAATTGCCTCCTAAATGCAAGGACCCAGGTATGTTTACTGTCCCTTGCAAAATAGGTAATATTAAAATTGAAAAAGCTATGTTGGATTTGGGTGCTTCGATAAATGTTATGCCTCGTTCTATTTATAATTTGATGAACATTGGGCCTTTAAAAGAGACGGGCGTAATAATTCAACTGGCTGATCGATCAAATGCCTATCCTGATGGAGTTTTGGAGGATATTTTAGTGCAAATTGATAATTTGATTTTTCCTGCAGATTTTTATGTGCTTGATATGGAGGATGATAATTCTAATTCATCTCCAATACTGTTAGGGAGACCATTTTTGAAAACTGCTAGAACAAAAATTGATGTTTTCACTGGCACATTGACTATGGAATTTGATGGTGATGTTATTAAATTTAGTATTTATGATGCCATGAAATATCCTGGTGAATCTCATTCAATTTTTGTTATAGATGTAATTGATTCTTTGGCGCAGCAAAATTTTGAATTTAATAATGACGATGCGTTGAAGGTTGCTATTTCTACTGGTCTCTGTCAGGAAAATTTGCAAAAGATAAAAGGGAAGTTTGTTTTTCCTTTTGAATTGCAGGAAGTTATTTTTGAATTGAATTCTCTTTGTCCAGAATTTTCCAATGTGTCTTACTTGGAATTACCTCTGTCTCATTCACAGCTTTTGCCATCTATTGTGCAAGCCCCGAAGGTGGAATTAAAGCAGTTACCGGATAATTTAAAGTATGCATTCTTGGGAGATGGAGATACACTCCCAGTAATAATTTCCAGTAAATTGACTGCTTTAGAGGAAGAAAAACTAATTCGGGTGTTGAAGGACCACAAGGAGGCAATAGGATGGACAGTGGCTGACATAAAAGGATTAAGTCCAGCCACTTGCATGCATCGCATCTTGTTAGAAGATGGTGCTAAGCCTTCGAGAGAGGCTCAACGGAGATTGAACCCACCAATGATGGAGGTAGTGAAGAAAGAAGTTTTAAAACTTCTTGACACAGGTATAATCTATCCCATTTCGGATAGTAAGTGGGTAAGTCCTGTTCAAGTAGTTCCTAAAAAGACAGGAATTACTGTTATTGAAAATCCTAAAGGTGAGTTAGTGCCCACTCGAGTTCAAAATGGGTGGAGAGTTTGTACCGATTTTAGAAAATTAAATGCATTAACTCGTAAAGATCATTTTCCATTGCCTTTTATTGATCAGATGTTGGAAAGGTTGGCAGGAAAATCTCATTATTGCTGTCTTGATGGTTTTTCAGGTTTTCTACAAATTCCAGTGGCGCCTGAAGATCAAGAGAAAACCACATTTACTTGCCCTTTTGGTACATTTGCCTATAGACGAATGCCTTTTGGTCTTTGTAATGCGCCTGCTACATTCCAAAGGTGTATGGTTAGTATATTTTCTGATTATGTGGAGAATATCATAGAAGTGTTTATGGATGATTTTACTGTCTATGGTAATTCTTTTGATGAATGTTTAACTAACCTCACAAAAATTCTTAAAAGGTGCATTGAGACTAATCTTGTTTTAAATTATGAGAAATGCCATTTTATGGTGGACCAAGGCATAATTTTAGGCCATGTGGTATCTGCAAAAGGAATTGAGGTAGATAAGGCTAAGGTAGAAATTATCAAATGTTTACCTTACCCTGCAAGTGTGCGGGAAGTTCGCTCTTTTCTTGGTCATGCAGGTTTTTATAGGCGTTTCATCAAAGATTTTTCAAAGATATTCCATCCTCTATGCAAATTACTTCAAAAGGATGTGGTATTTCATTTTGATGATAATTGCAAGAGTGCATTTGACACGCTCAAGGGATCATTGACTTCAGCACCAGTGGTTCGACCACCAAATTGGAGTCTTCCTTTCGAGATAATGTGTGATGCCAGCAATTTTGCTGTTGGTGCAGTACTTGGCCAGAAGGAGGGCAGAGCTTCTTATGTAATTTATTATGCCTCGAGGACCTTGGATGGTGCCCAGTGCAATTATTCGACTACGGAAAAGGAGCTTTTAGCTATTGTTTTTGCTTTAGAAAAATTCCGTTCTTATTTACTTGGCACTAAAGTCATTATTTATTCTGACCATGCAGCTTTGAAATATTTGCTCAACAAGAAAGAGGCCAAACCACGACTTATAAGGTGGATTCTCCTACTGCAAGAATTTAATTTGGAAATTAATGACAAAAGGGGTGCCGAAAATATGGTTGCTGATCATCTCAGTCGTTTGATCAATAGTGAAGGACCTGCTCCCTTGAAGGATAATTTTCCAGATGAGCATCTTTTTGTAGTTCAAAAGACAACTCCCTGGTATGCTGATTTAGTGAATTATCTGGTTACTAGAACGCTACCTAATGATTTGTCTAGAGCTCAAAAGGAAAAAATTAAAAGTGATGTTAAATATTATGTGTGGGATGAACCATACTTGTGGAAATATTGTTCTGATCAAATTATTCGCAGGTGTGTGTCTAAAGAAGAGGTTCCATCAATTTTATCTTTCTGTCACTCATATGCGTGTGGTGGACATTTTGGCCCTAAGCGAACTGCAAGAAAGGTTTTAGAGTGTGGTTTATTTTGGCCAACTTTGTTTAGTGATGCATACTTATTTTGTAAATCATGTGCAAATTGTCAAAAGACAGGTAATTTAAGCCATAGAGATCAAATGCCTCTTACTCCTATACTGGTTTGTGAAATTTTTGATATATGGGGTATAGATTTTATGGGTCCATTTCCTTCCTCTTTTGGTAATATGTATATATTACTTGCAGTTGATTATGTCTCAAAGTGGATAGAGGCTAAGGCAACTAGGACTGACAATGCTAAGGTTGTAGTTGATTTTATTAAATCTCATATTTTTGTCAGGTATGGCACGCCAAGAGCAATTATCAGTGACCGAGGGACACACTTCTGCAATCGAGTAATGGAAGCATTGTTGAAGAAATATGGCGTCACTCACCGGGTTTCTACGTCCTATCATCCGCAGACTAGTGGTCAAGCAGAAATCTCCAATAAAGAAATCAAGTCGATACTTGAAAAGACGGTGAATCCCAATAGAAAGGA